CAAATTCTGAATTTATTAAAACATCCATAGTTATATTCCTTTCCTTTTTGCTGACAACTTCCTTACATATATATATATATATATATATATATATATATATATATATGTGTGTGTGTGTGTGTATGTATGTGTGTATATGTATATGTATACAGGTGTGTGTGTGTGTGTGTGTGTGTGTGTATATATATATATATATATATATATATATATATATATATATATATATATATATGTAGATATGATATATTTTTATTTTTATTTTTCTCCCTTATTACTCAATAGTTATTTTTCTTTTGAATTTTTCTTTCACTTTCTATTAACTTTCGTTCAATTTTCCATAATTTTTCTAAGTAATATATCTCTCGTACCTATTTACACTTCCAGCGCTTTAGTTCAAACTTCGTCGGATAACCGTTAGAGATGACGCCACCTACACATCTCTTCTCTCTCCCCCTCCCTTGTAACGACTTTTATTCTCCCTGCGACACTTAAGGAGACAGGTAGTACTTCTTTTATTTCTTTCTTATTTCAGCTTTCTCAATTTCTTCCCTCCTTCCTTTCATTCCTTTTCTCTGTTTTTAACTCTTTATTATATTATACATTGTCTGTACATCTTGATAGACTTTACAATATCTCAATTTTCTATCTAACTACTCCATTCTCAATGTTTTAATTTTACTATTTATTTTCATTTCTTATATAACTTCATATTTCTTTTTTATGTTTTACATTTTATTCTAAGATTCCCATTGTAACACTTTTGTCACCCTTTTTGATTATGCCTACTTCATCATTCCACACTTTGTAACGGTTTTTATTATTTATCTCTTAGTTCTTAGTCATTATTCAAACAATTTCATTTTACTTTATATTTATCTATTTTATTTTTCTAATTTTTTTTTATTTTTTTTATTTTTTTTACCATCATTACTTATGTTTCTCATACCTTGTTATCTGGTTATTTTCTTAGCCCTGATGAAGGCCTGAACTTCAGGTCGAAACGTCGGCATATGTAAAAAATAAATATTATCATTTATTTTTGCCTTCCTTTTTGACTGACCACCCCAACTATTCTTCTCTTCATAAATTGGTATTAGGATGGTTAGACAGGAAATTATATACTATCCTATTGATGTTCTCCAGTCATTCTTCAAAATCACAGTCCTGGGGTAAATAAAAATTTCTCAACAATACATTTTTATTAATAAATTGAAAAGAAAGTATGATCATATACTGGCTATTTTCTAAAACAGTAACTTTCCCTTTATTTTTTATTATTGCGTTGTTTATGACAGTGACGATGCCTCCACTTGCCCTACCTCGTTGTTTAATTTTAACAACATTAATAATAAACGGACTGAATTTTTTAAGCAAGTTGAAATGATAAAATAATAGGTCGCTAACCAAGTTTTTACTGCACATATTGCCATTACATTATTAGTATCTGAAAGTGAACTGATGTTAAGTAAATTTTGGTAACTTTTGATATTGTTAAATATTATCTTATATGTACTATTACTATGGTTAAATGAAATATTAAAATTACTAAAATTATTTTGAAGCTCGAGAAGCCTTTCTGATGGTTGATGGTTATGAAGTCCCAAGTCTTTTTCTGAAGGATGACCGCTGAGTGAAGTAGATATCGGCCGAAACTCCAACTCTTTTAATCTTTCATTCATCTTTCTTTTTTTCTGCAATTGGTTTTCTTGCTCAATAGCAGGTGAATTTTCTAACATATTTCACACCTCTTTCAGATGATATAGATTGCTCCTAACTTACCCCTTCCTTGTTTTCCATATAGGACAGATTAAAAATTAAAAAGTTGTTTTTTCTCCTTTCTCTCTTTAAGGACTTTATCTAATTTTCTAATGAACTAATTTTGTTATATTATTCCAAATGTTTTGCCCTCAGATTAGAAATTTCAGCCACTTAAGAGTCAAGAATTATTGATATTTTGTAAAGAGAGCTTTTAGATTCTTTGTTATTACGGCTGATAACCTCCTCGTTAGTGACCGTTGATTAAAATTAATTAAAAAATAAATTAAATAGTTTAATAAACGATTGAAATAATTTATATTGGCAATAATAACAAACACAGCTGATTAATCTTGACCATAAAGTATCTAGTGAAGTAGTGGTGGGGGCTGGCGAGATATATCTTGCCGAAACTAAGAGATAAGCGGTTTGCCAACTTACTGCAAAATACTTTTCTTTAACTTCTTCGTATCTCCTTAAATTCTTGACGTATCTTGCTCAAAATTTGAATTAGCATTCTGTAATACAAACTGCACTAGCATGTCAAAAATCACTTTAATTGGCTTAGTACAACTTTCCAAACACAAGATAAACGCAGAGCTGATCTAACACAGTACACGGCCAAATCTAGACTATAGATATCAGAAACCTGTTGAGAACAATAATTGATCAATAGGATCAAGGAGGCCTCAAAATAAATTACAATAAAACTAAATATATCTGTATGGAGAGAGAAAAGAGCACCGAATCTGACAACTGATTGAAGTAGAATAATTCTGTTACCTGCGCTGGGATCCATAACAAAAAAATAATAGTAGAACGGAGGAAAAATAAAAAAACGAATCAGATGGCAAATAAGCAGTGGGGATATAAGGACTACCTACTGTGGAGCAGCAATACTTGAATATAAACAAACAACAGATCTTGAAAGCATCGGCAGAAAGTGTAATGCTTGCTATATGGATCGGTCCCTAAGCATAACCCAAAGAAAAAATTTCCATGCAGTAGAAATGGATTTTCTAGAAGAACACAACAAGGATATCCAGAAATGAAAGGGTGAGAAGAAGGGATAAATCAGAAGCAAAACAAAATATCCTAGAGAAGATGGAAGAAAAGAGACTCAAGACACTATAGCCACCTGAAACGGATAAGTGAGTGACAAGCGGATTATGGATTGGGAGTCAGAGAGTACAAGGAAAGGAAGACACCCAGCTAATATTTGATTGCCCGCTATATATAAATCCCCAATCAGCTCTGGCTGGAGAGTATTCGTTACTAGAGTGGCCTCCTCAGAACCTTGACAGACTCGCAGCGATTTCTGGTATGATTAATGCCTTCAGGATATATGGGAAGAAGATTTTCCAAGTGATGAAGAGCATTGAGTGATAAAGGAAGCAGATGGTCCGGGGTGGCAGTCATAAAAAGGCTAAATAGCGGTAAAACTATTTTAATAAAAGCCAATGTTTCGACCCGACTTTGCAGGTCTTCTTCAGGGAGGTGTGTTCAGCTAGGAGTTTCATTAGAACTGGAATGTTGGCTTTTAATAAAATAGTTTTGCCACTATTTAGCCTTTTTATGACCCCCACCCTAGGCCATCTACTTCCTTTATAATGCAACGGTCAACTATTAAATATTCAGCATTGAGTGATGTTTAACCTGTGTGTTATTGGAACAACCCAACTAGTTCTTAATGGTTCCAGTGAAAGTTATTTTAAAGGTGTAAGGAATATTACAAATTAAACCCATTGTAAGTGAATCAAGGTTCAAAATTTGTAATAATAAAATTCTATAGAATATGCCCACTGAATGTTAATAGAAACTAGTTGAGCTCTGTTTGGTGGGAACAGCTCTCCAGTTGTGGGCAGCTCATTAGAATTCTCTGTTCTGAAAATAAAAAATGCCCCAATGAAAAAATATATATATATATGCCTTACATTGGGTCATGTATTAGGTCCAATGTGAGTGCATGGAGGCAGACCTGCTCGCTGAGCTGCTGAATTTACCTGTGGGGCGGAAAACATTGTGATAAAACTGAGCCTTTATTTTAAAATTAAAATATATGTTAGAAAATTAGATGAACCGTTGGTATAGAGCAGCCCTAAGGTACAGCGGGGGAACTAAAGGGGCCTGAGACAAGGAGATGGCCTAACCTAGCATTCAAGAAGATGATATAGGAATCTGAAGTGCAAAAAAACGGAATTCTCATGAAGTCAGTCCAAATTCTAGCCTGTGCAGATAATGTATATACAATTCATAACCAGATCACAGAGGGACTTAGAATGAGCTTTCCTTGTAATAAAGACAGCAGAACAGAAAATGGGTCCAAAAATCAGCCAGGCAAACTTATCAGGATCGCTAACTTTATATGATTGCTAACTTTCCATGACCATCACCATCCACTGTTATGTTAAAGGATAGGATTTTCCAAAACCAACTGATCTATCCAGGAAAATACAGGACAGTAGTATGATGTAAAGACAGACTCTCTATGAGATTGACCTATATCTATACACAAATAAAAAGTTGAAGAGTTTGTTTGAACTCATCAATTTCAGTAACTACCTTTTTGATCTGAAAATTGTCTTTATTTGTTAGATAATTCACAAAGAACTGTTGAGGAAAGCTTTATGCTTTATAACATCATCCTGCAACTCATGGGAATGGAACGAACACTAACATCAATTAATCTGGAAAACTGTAGGAAACTGTGATAGTATATCTTTCCATAAATATTGTTTGCAGTCATTATACAGAGAGTGCAGGTATAAACTTTAAGCACATTGGTGTCAACTTAATGGAGAAATAATGGAATAATAATGGAGAAAACCAAGTAATAAAATTATCTACTTATACCACAGAGGGAAATAAAAAAAATATTGTTAACACTGAAGCACAGTAAGTTCTCTTAAAATAGTTTAGAACATATCATATTCATAAAAAAAAAAAATAATAATAATAAAACTGGTTAGAATAAAACCTGAAAACCCACTGACTGTTTTTCCGTGATTAATCCTTTTGTTATTTTGCATAATTTTGGATGTTATTCAATCAATCAGATGAGCTTGATGAAGTACTCATGTGTAAGAGTGTATATTACAAATATAACACGAGTGACTAGTATTTAAATAAAGAAGAATCACAATAGTTTTCATAAATAATGAAAAATTTATGTAGAACACTAGCACTTGTTTTAAAGCAACTACTATTTATAGAGAAGAATAAATGATATTAGTGTAATTACTTACAGGCTGATCAGTATCTGGAGTGTACATAAAATTAAAAAATACAGGAGCTCTGGCATTATGTTTTTCTATATAATCGAAGACTGACTGCCCCAAGTTGGGACCAGAATGAGTGCCTGCCCTTAATCCTCCTAAAATAAATTCATACATCAATAACTAGAAAGACTCTTAATTTATTTTTTTGTTTAAGAAAGTGGAAGAGAAGACATCTCAAAAATAAAATATCAATTAGTTTAAATAATTTCAATAAAATTAATATTAAAATCAGATAAGTTATACCATCAAGAAATGTGAAAAACAGAGAAAGGTTAGAGAAACTGGATTTCAAGGAACTATTAGTCCTACAAACTATAGTTGATAGGACTAAATAAAATTATAGACTAGGAGCTACCGCCGGTTTTATTTAACGGAAGAACTTATAGCTAGAAACCATTTTAAATTATAGGTAATCCTCGCCTGAATACACAACTCCGGTCAGTCGCTTGAAAGCTGTTGCATTAAATAAGAAAATTTAAATCAAAGTTGCGAAATATGACATTTCATTTAACGAGAAAACTGATGGATGAAAATTTGATGAGATGTATAATATGTGCCCTGAAAAAAGAAAAGATCTTGACTGCTGGTCTAAGTAGATGTGTTTTGAAAACTAACGGGTGCCAAAGTCACTGATTTATGAGGTGCATTTAACTAAAAAGATTACGCTTGGAACTGGGCTCAAAATACGCAGCGAACCAATCTAAAATAGAATTCGAGATGATTGATGACGTAACTTGTTGCAATTTTAAAACTGACTCGAATTTTTAAACTTACCGGAAGGACACGCCACTGTATTGGACTCAAAATGTGCAGGGTATTGACTTTTTTTTTTATTTCTTTATGACATTTACAACTGTATTACATAAATACATCAAGTAAATTTGGACATAATTGACATAATGACATGAATACACTTGCTGAGTAACTACCCAATGGTAGCACTCTAATGATATGACTACATTAGGAGATCACGGGGCCATCTTCTTTTCAGACGTCTCGGAGGGTTATCAGGAATTGAAGAGGAAGCAAGGTTAGAAACGAGAGGGTTGGGATGATTCTGAAGTTTATTATGGAAGGATAGGTATCTGGATTGGGCCAGATCTGAAACATAAGGAACATTAAGATCTTTATGGATAATTTTATTAGTGACAAAGTAAGGAGCATTGAGGATTTTACGAATGATTTTGGATTGTAAGGATTGGATGCGAGAGGAATTCGATGGTTTAGTGGAGCCCCATAGCTCAACTCCGTAAGTCCAAATAGGTCTTATTATAGTCAAGTATATGAGTCTTTTGTAATTAATGGGAAGTTTAGAGCGTTTGTCTAGTAAGTGCTGAAGTAATCGGAAACGTCGAGCGGTTTCTTGTCGTTTCAGTCTAGTATGATTCCAAGTTAGTCGTTTGTCCAGGTGGAGTCCTAGGTATCGGATTTGCTCAACAGGGATAAGTGGAGTATTGTTAAAGGAAACTGTAGGACAGGAAGTCGTTGGTTTACGACGAAGGGTAAAGGTAATTTGGTGGGATTTATTGGAGTTTATTTTAATTCTCCAGTTTTGACACCATTCTTCTAGATTTATGATGTGTGATTGAAGCATTTGGGATGCAATTGCTGGGTCATTGTTTACTGATAGGATACATGTGTCATCGGCATATGTGGTGATGACAGTGTTGGGACAGGTAGGGATGTCTGCTGTATAAACTGTATAGAGGATACTACCTTGAGGAACACTAGCGGACGGGGAAAAAATGGATGAATAGGCGTTATTGTGATTTACTTTAAAGTATCTATCAGTAAGGTAGGAACGGATAATGAGGAAGTATGTAGGTGATAGGAATTTTCGGAGTTTGTACAGCAGTCCCGGGTGCCAAACTCTATCAAACGCCAGTTCAACGTCGAGAAAGACTCCCGTACAGTACATTCCGCGCTCCAATGCAGAGGAGACTACGTCTACCACACGATGACATTGCTGTATAGTGGAATGGGAAGTTCGAAAACCAAACTGGTGATCTGGGATTATGTGTTTAGAATTTAGGATAGGGTACAGGCGTTTTAAGATGAGTTTTTCTAGGATTTTGCCCATGATGGGTAAAAGAGAGATAGGACGGTAAGAGGATGGGTATTCTGTTGGTTTTTTGGATCATTTTAACAATAGATCGTTTCCAAGGATCAGGAAAATATGTGGAACGGAGTACAGCATTATATATGTAAGTAAGGAATAGGATGGCTTTTCGAGGAAGAAGTTTTAGGATCTGGGATGTAATTAGGTCATGTCCAGGAGCTTTACGGGAAGGTAATTTTTTAATGATGTTGGATATTTCTATGGGATGAAATGCTTTGGGTGGCAGAGACATTTGGAGAGGAATATCCAGTTCTGCTTCAATACAATTGATGTGAGTTGAATTAAGGATATCGGGATGTGGGTTAAAAGTTTGGAAGAGATGTTGACCAAATAGTTGGGCTTTTTCTTCATCGGATTTGGACCAGGTTTGGGACTCAGTAAGTAGTGGGTGATTAAAGTCTTGAAACTTAAGAAGTTTTTTGGTGGTCATCCATAATGATTTGTCAGTGGTTGTAAGTTTTTCAGTAAAATTTAGTAAATTTTGAATTTTGTATTTTCTAATTTCTGATTTCAGTTTGTTAGTCAGTTGGGTGTAATGCGATTTATCTGTTGGGTATCTAGTCCTATGCCACTTCGATCTTGCTCTACGTTTTTCCTGTAATAAGATACGAATATGCTGTGGCAAGTTAGTATTTTGTGGGAAGTTAATCTTATTGATAAAGGTGTTATTATTTATACTGTCTGTTATTGATGATGTCAGTTTTTCTATGGCACCATTAATGTCTTCTTTTGTCTTTAGCGGGATTTTTAGGTCTAGTTTGTTTTCCAAATCATCAGTTTAGGAAGTGATGGTTTGGAAGCAAAGTCAGAATGTAGTGAAAGCAGAACTGGACTATGGTCTGAAGAAAGGTCATCCAGGGATTTGATCATAGTTTGGGAGGAGGAAATCTGGGAGGTGATAAATATGTCCAGGATATCGGGACGTTTTTTGAGGGATGTTGGAAAATAAGTAGGATTCATGGGCGAGAGGATGGAATAATTGTTGGAAGAAGAAACTTGTGAAAGGGTATTACCACGGGAGTTGGATGATCGACAACCCCATCGTTGGTGTTTAGCATTGTAGTCTCCTCCAGCAATAAAGCGCGATCCGAGGGATTGTAATAAGGATTCAAGTAGGCTGTACGAGAGGGAATTGCCAGGAGGACAGTATACAGCTGAAAGTGTTAGATGGAAAGGACGAGTTGAGAGGATTACAGAAGTTGACTGAATGGCATCTGTTGGAATGGAAGGAATAAGGGAATGGGGTAAAGATTTGTGGATAAGGATGCAAGAACCGCCGTGGGCAGTGTTGTCTGGGTGGTCAGATCTATAGGTGATGTAGTCACCGTTGTCCGTTGGTGGTCAAATGTGTCCGTTGGGTGAAGTGAGTTTCTGTCAGGAGGGCAATGTCAATATAATTGTCATGGAGAAATATGTCTAGTTCGTCACGGTGGTTTTGCAGTCCATTAGCATTCCATAAAAGAATAGCTAGGGACTTTGTGTTCATTGAGGGAAGCTAAGCGGGATTTCGGAAAGGAGTCTGGTTAGAAGGGTTATGAGCGGTTTGATAGTCTGTTGAAGATCTATCAGGAATGACGATAAGATAGTGTTGATGTCGGATGGTGTTTGGCTGGGAAGTGGGTTTGGATCAGGAGGTTGTGATGGGTAGGTTATGCGACTAGGAATGTTGGGTGGGGGATGGGCCCGTCGTGGGGTACGAGGAGGAGGATCTAAATTCTGTTGGACTTGTGGAGGGGGGTTCATCCTGGGATTAGGAACGAATGGAGCTGGATGTGGATGCTCTGGTGGGAGTTTGACTCTTAAGGGTAAATGATGAGGAGGGATTTGCTGGCGAGGAGGTTGAGGCTGAGGATTAGGGATTTTGGGCTTGGATTGGAAGGCCTGAGGCGCCTGACATTGAGGTTGCTTCTTACTGATGGAAGACTGGGAGTGAGAATTTCTGAGATTCTGGTGAGGTGAGTCCTTAGCTGTAGAGATGGATGGTTGTAGTTGGACGACGAGGGAAGGTGAAATCGGAAATGCTGGGAAAATTTCCTGATTTTCAATTTCAGGTGCCTCAGTGTAAGTTTTCTGAGCAGATCCAAGATTTTTCACCGCTGAGTTTCGTGATCTTTGTTTGTAAAGATTTTTATACACTTCACATCCTCTGTAGCTCGCAGGATGGGCTTAGCCACAAAGAGCACACGTCGCAGGCTCATCTCTTGGCTTCTGGCAAGTTTCTGAAGCGTGTAGGCCGGCACATTTAATGCATCTGACTTTGTGATAACAATAGGCCTTTGTATGGCCCAAGTTTTGACACTTAGTGCATTGTACAATTAGAGGCTTCTGTTTCGGTTCCTCAAAACGGACTATTGAGTAAACCAATCGTTGAACCTGGAATATTTCAACATTGGTTTTTGCTGGTTCCAAGTCTATAAAAAATGATGGTAGCGGATATCTTTCTCTAGGATGTAGTACAGGTGCTATGTGCCTGACATTATGACCGATTTCTTCGAGGCCCGATTTGATAGCAGATATGGGTGTGGTTGAATGTAGTCCTCTCAGGACCACTCGATACGCCTTTTCTTGTTTTAATTGGTAACAGTGGAAGTCGTAGTTATTAGTTGTTAAAAAATTGATCAGTTTTTTATAATTGTCTCTAGAATTAGTATTGATTTTGATGTCGTTCACTCTCGAGTAACATCGAAAATTTGGCTATCCGATCAAATCTGCAATTTGTTGACCAAACGACATAAAGTTCTTAATTTTTGAAACAAATATTGGCGGCGGCTCAGGATCAGAAAAATCTTGAAGCTGCGGAGTCTTGTGAGATAAGTTGTTTTCTTGAATTGAGTTTTTGCTTTCTGATGTTTTTGGTGCAGTTGGCTCTGACTGAGTGGCAATAGATTTGCTCCTAGTTCTCGGTGGAGATTGATCTTGTTCTGGTTGCTTATTTGATTTCTTTTTCTTTTTTTTTTTTTATTAGGTGTTTTGTCC